AGATACTTGAAGGAAGGTAAGTCAGTGCGTTGAGGTCCTCAGGCTGTGGGTGGAGAAGCCAGCAGGGACGTGTCCTCAGCCTTCGGGATAGTGGGGTGAGGTCACCATGTTCTTCACCTATTTGCCAGCAATCGAAGAAGTGGCATCTAGTCCTATATTGCCTTATTACCAAGGAGAAAAGGTAGCAGAACTCAGCTTTTGGATGTTAAAAGAATACAGCAATTTGACACAAACACATCAATTTGGTAGGTTTACAAAAGGGCTATGTGATGGGAATCTAATCTGAGAAGCTCAGGGGAGACACGCTGCAGCTACGCTGAACATGAATTATGGATGAGGGGACAGAGCAAGACGACAACGGCTTCCAATTTTGGCCAAGCACCCTCTTAGGGAACGAATTATTGCTAGACTTTAACAAGACAACGCCATTATTTTCTGGTCCAAGGGGCTGGAAAGTTCTTTTTGTGCTTTGCTAGTAGGAGGCAGGTCATGTATGGTCTGGTCCTTGTCACTGAGCAGTAGCCCCCGTCCCTACCTACTTGCAGTTAAGGCTGAAGCTCAACTCTGTGGCACTGCAAACGGGAGAGTGACACGTGGGCTGATGGAGTTAGTTAAAAATATAAGTTGCCTTGGCAGGCGTTCTGCAAACACCTGCTTTGCAAGCTGTCCTCCCACACAGTGACCTTGGGAAGGCCTTGGAGAGTTGAGTGGGAGGAGCCAGGGTTTTAACCACAACTTCCCAGGCATCAGTGTTGCCTTTGTCTCCGGGCTCTTCCAGACCCAGTGATCAAGTGCCAGCAGGGGTTCAGTGATGGACGAACTTGGCTCCAGGCGGACTGAAGACTCTGATGGCAACGTGGTGGCTGCTCATCCTTCTAATCCGCTTGTTGACCAGCTCAGCAAGGGACTGGGTTCTGGTCTCTACCCCAAGAGTGGTTCATCGGGCAGCAGTAAGGTCAAGGGCTGTGCTGAGAAGCAGTTGGCAGCCACCTCCATCTTAGAGAAGTGACAGGCAGTGTTTGTCCTAGCACTGGGCAGGGGAAGAAAAGATGTGACGCGACGGGTTCAGCTCGCAGGGGCAGGGGGAGCGTTCCCTCCCTTCCCAGGAAAAGGTCCCCGGTGTAGCCGTCGAAAGCCTGCTGATGGAAGCCTGCGTTCAACACCAGAGGCTGACAGCGGGCCGGGCACTCACACAGCACCCACTGGAGCCCAGTGAGGGGAATCTGCCATCGCACATCAGAGGTGGCCTCGGCCCAATTGCTGCAGGCCCCTGCAGCAGCAGCCAGGTAACCATCTGGCCTGGCCACACAGGGTGAGGTGGGCAGGTCTGTGTGCTGTGGCCGGGCTGGCCGGCACCATAAGCTCCCGGCTGCCGCAGCTGCTGCTCAAAGCAGAGGCCCCGGTCAGAGAGGAGGAGACGGCTCCCATTGAAGCCCATTGTCAGACCTGCCCGCAGTGGCAGGCCACCGGATGGTCTTCACTAGAAGGCTGTGCCCACACTAGGGGAAGCCATTTCTTGACAAGGATAAGCAGTGGGTTTGCAGTGGCTGGTGTTCGTCATTTAAATGCAGAGTGGGCAGCACTACCCCCTTAAAAGTGGGGCCTCTTGTCCTGTAGAGAAGTGCAGGGGCTGAGACTTCATCTTGGGGGTTGTCAGCTTTCCCTTTCAGAAAGGACCGAAACACCACCCTCAGGGAAATTCAGTGTTTCCTCTGATCAGCCGAAATCGTCAGCCAGGGCGAGGTTCCTACTTGGAAGGGGAAATGAGGCCATCCCCGGAATCTTTCCAACAGGCGTTCTTGCCTGGGCAACGGCAGCACACGGCCTGGACTGAACAGCACAATCCAGTGGCAGAGATGAAATTCTCAAGGGGGCTGCAGTCCCCTTTGAGAATCTGGTGCAAGAGCCACACTTCTTCCCAGAAAATGCCCTTATGCACAATTTCCTATATAATTTTGTGACTTGCTTAGATCCTAGGCTAAGAGCCCCTGTAGAGGTGGTTCTGGGAGAAACGACTCAGCTGTGGACTGGAAAACAAGCCACATGAAGGTGGTGAGACCAGCAGGGGAGGGGGGGAACACTGGTGAAGAGCTACGCCGAGGGCGAGCATGCACACCTTGCCCAGGCGACGAGTCATCTGAGCAATGAATACATTGGAAAAAATTTAATATCATATCCAACAGACACATAAAGCACAAAGCAAGTCATAGAACGTTTTAAGACAAGACATGAGAGCTGTGGTGTCTGGCCCTCCGGCTCCCCCAGCAGCATGAGTCTCTTCTGTCTTTAGGGGAGACGGGGGTGGGGGTGGGGAGAGTTGGAGAAGCAGAGGAGCCACAGAAGGAGACGATAACTCCACTAAACACTTGGAACTTGCAAAGAAACTCCCTCAAAACAGACAGTGGGGACAGAGGTAAGACAGGCTGAGCAGAATGGGTGGACATGGGCCAAGATTTTTTTCAAGTCGCTGGGTAAGTGTTGGTTTATAAAGGCACTCGGATCCTTTCCCCATGAGGCCGATTTCTTCCAGGATGTAAAGTTTACAGCAGAAAACACTGACTGAGGTGGGTGTACCTGGAGATTACAGTGTGGGTCTGATATACTCTCTTTCACAAAACCCAGGCAATTTTCATGAATGGGAGATGTTATCAACAGGCTGGGGAACAAAACCCAAACCAACCCCGTGCTTGTAACATTTTATACTGGGTCAGCTGTTAGCAGCGAATAACAATAGTTTAAAACTCTTTTTAACATGAGTAAAATTTTCTGGGTCTAATTTCTTTTGAACTCTTCTATTTAATTCCTACAAAGTTAGGGAGAAGGATCCTGCAAAATGACTGTAAAGTCAGCCTGGGTTAGGGGGTGGGTGGGACCGCTACTTATTTTACCCAGCGGTCCAGCTGCATTAAGACTATGAGAGGAGGGCCGGCCCCGTGGCTTAGTGGTTAAGTGCGTGCGCTCTGCTGCTGGCGGCCCGGGTTCGGATCCCGGCTGCGCACCGACACACCGCTTCTCTGGTCATGCTGAGGCCGCGTCCCACATACAGCAACTAGAAGAATGTGCAGCTATGACATACAACTATCTACTGGGCTTTGGGGGGAAAAAATAAATAAATAAAATCTTTAAAAAAAAAAAAAAGACTATGAGAGGGGCCGGGCCGGTGGTGCAGCGGTTAAGTGCGTGCTAAGTGCGTGCGCTCCGCTAATGCGGCCCAAGGGTTCACAGGTCCGGATCCCAGGTGCGCACCGAAGCACCGATTGTCTAGCCATGCTGTGGCGGCGTCCCATATAAAGTGGAGGAAGACGGTCATGGATGTTGGCCCAGGGCCAATCTTCCTCAGCAAAAAGAGGGTTGGCAACGGATGTGAGCTCAGGGCTGATCTTCCTCACCAAAAAGAAAGAAAGAAAAAAAAAAAAGACGAAAACCTTATAAAGCGAGGTCACTAGAGGGTCAGACCACCACAAGACAATGAGAGTAAATAAAAGACTCCATTTGCTAACTGCAGACTGGCTTCATTTACGGACTAATTGTGTTGAAAGGAAGCAGTGCTCCTTTCAACCTTTCCCTTCAACCTCCTGACAGAGCTGCCTCCTAGAAGGCGGCCTGAAGGAAAGCAGCGCTCTCCCTTCGAGAAGCGAGGCTTCCCAGCCACAGCTCCTCATCTGGCCCCGCTGTCCTCTGCCGGATGTAGATTTGTAATGAACAAATATCTTACGCAATCTGAGGAACCCTCCAAAACCTTCACAACTCAAAAGTTCTAGGATGCTGAGCAATGGCATGCATTTCCCAACTTCATACGCTTGTGGTTCAGCAGAAGAGCTCCCCTTTTCTCTACTGTGGGCAAACTGTCCTCACAATAAGAATACTGTGCCCACAGTTATCTCTGGTTCTGTTTCTGATGGTCCCTTATGCCTTCTTTTTTTTGATCAGGATTGTCTACTTCATCTTTTCAAAAAACTGCTTTTGGCTTTATGATAAACTCTACTATTGGTTGGTTTTCTGTTCACTGAAGTCAATGTATATTTTTACCCTTATTTCACTCTTTCCTACTTTCTTTGGGGTCACTGTCACCTTTTTTAAGCTCTCTGAGGTGACAGTGGAGCTCATTTATTTTCAGTTTGAGCTTCTGTTACCAAGTCACAGCTTCTCTGTTCCCTTCTGGCTGCATGGGGTTTTGATGTTCAGTGCTTTCACTGTCACTCGGGCCTAGAGAGCTCGTTGTTCATTTTTATTTCGCTCTTTAAAACCAGGTTAATTCAGGAGTATTAGGAATTTCCAGGGGTATGTTCATGTTTTATTATTTTGCTTTTTGCTGATTTCTCAGTTTACTGCATTGGGGACTGTGGTCGCTGAATTTGGCCGGTATGCTATCAATCAATCACAATCTGAGATTTTTCTTTGTGGTCTCATACATGGTCATTTTCTTGTGCATGGTCTATGGGTATTTGAAAAGTTCAAAATTCTGGACACATCTATTGGATCAAGCTTATAAATTACGTAATTCCTCTGAATCCTTAAATATTTTTATGATTTGATCTGTTGATCACCCACTGAGCGTGGATGTTGTTTCCCTTCGTAATTCTATCAGTCTTTGCTTTGATATGCTGATGGTCTATTAGGTGGCTGCTGCTGCTGAGAACAACCCGAATCAAGAGTGATCAATGGTTTGCCCTCCTAATCCTTTGGAAATGGAAGCTACTGATCAAACACAACAGTTCTCTCGTGTTGCCCTGTTTTATCTCAGTGATTTAAGATCCCGGTTCATTCTCTACCCTAGAATCACCTTCCATCCCACATGGAGGATGGCTGTTTATTCAAGGAATATGTAGAAAATATCTACCTTGTATCACACATTGTAGACACAATAGTAAGCAAAATAGTCATTAATGAAATAGTTGTATAAATATATAATTATAAACGGTGGTAAGAGCCATGAGGAAGAAGTACTGCTGGCCCAGGTTATAGAGGGTGGTGGTGGTCAGGGTGTGTCAGAAAAGACCACCCTGAGTGAACACTGGATCTCAGATCCAAAGGATGGGTGAGTGTTGGGGCCGTGTAGGCTAGGAGACCAGCACTTCCGAAGGCCCCCAAAGAGGAAAGGTCTGGAGACTGGAAAGTTGGCCAGCAGGCAGGAGCAGGGCACTGAAGGACCTTGTTAAGCAGTGATAAGTCCAGGCCCGATGTGGAGAGCTGCAGCAAGGCCCTGTGCCGAGTGTACACAATGATACGGGGGACCCACGAGGCGGCCAGGAGAGAGGGCATCTCGGCTTGGGGCGGGGGGCCACTCCTGAGACGGCGGGAGCAGCCACAGGGCTGAGCTGGAGGTGTATGAGGGGGAAGGAGGTATAAATTTGAGTCGTCAGTGTATGGCTCTCAAAGCCGTAAGACAGAGGGAACATAGTAAGATGAAACAAGCCCTGACAAATTCCAGTTTTCCACAGGAGGAAAACGAGCAGGCAAAGGAGAAAAGCAAAGGCAGTTCAGGAATGTGTGGTGTCACACAAGTGGACCCTGGGGTTCCGTTCTTCCCCCAAACGTTTAAAACCTGGGGCAGAGCTCTGCTGTAGCTTTAAAATTCATAACATTGGTTCCTCCCATTTTCATCCCTGCTCCCAAGTGAGGCTATTCTCTAAATATTGTCATAGGGAAATGCAAGCGCAAGGTCGTAGTTGTAACCTGCCGTGGTGTCACAGGACGACCGGCAGATGGGAAGAGCACTCTGAAAGGCCAACTGGTCCACTGCGAACTCGTAGGCATGGATCAGCCCCCGGTGTCTAAAGGAAGCACAAAGAGGGCGACAGGGTCAGCACTGTGTGACCGGCCCTCACCCCTACAGCTTCTGTTTTGGCAGCAGGCATTCGCTTGAGACAGGATGGTGATTCAATTGAACAGATCTGGCCTTTGGGCCCACAGTGTGTGGGACACTCAAGATCCCTGGACTAGAGGTAAAGAGGTGAGTGGACAAATTTGATGATGGGAATTAAGAGCTTGGAGGGAGGGACTGGCACCACCTGCCTGCGGGTCGCTCCTGTCTGGCAACTGAGCCACCCAGCAGACCGAGCACGGGACTCCACTCAGAGGACTGAGCTTTGCCACTGTCACTCGGATTCTAACCACAACAGGTCCCTAAGCACTGTGTCTCGGGCTTTCGGCACACATGGCCGGGCCCCCCTGCATCCCCGCCCCACGCAGCCGCCCTGCAGAAGCAGTGAGCTACCGTTGGGGAAGCACTTAAAACAGGCACTCAGCACATCTTTTCGGCTAATTCACTCTACTGCACCTACACGTAAGCTCCCAATTTCTATGGAAAGAAGGCTGTGCCCAAGGGTACACACGGAGCAGTGTGGCATGGGGGAGGGGGTTCTATGATAAAATCAAACTAAGATGGTCTTTTCTGAACACCCACAAAGCCGGCCCAGCCCACTGACCTCCTGTGAGTGGTGAAGTTGTCCAGGTCGGCGTTGCGCACCACCCTCTCGTAGGGCACATTGGCCGTGATGAGGCTGTGGCTGTTGAAGGAGATGTGACGAACGGGGTGTCTGGAACACAGAGGGAGAGAGAACTCCTATAAGGCCAGTCCCGTGGAAACTGAGCACATCCTACATTTTTGTACCATGGTCTCAGGAGCTTACAGCTGCAAGGGCCTCGAGAACCCTCTGAGCCAAGCTTTTCTTTTAAGGAGGAGGAGACCGTGTCTGCCTCAGTTTCCAAAGCTGGTTTGAGCAAGGCCACACTCTGGGCCCTACTCTGAAAACAAGTCTGAATGCCCTCACACATCCTGGTTGACGGCCCCAAAAGCTGGGCGTGTTTACACATGAGGGACACACTCAACCTGAGCGGGTTCAGCATGCTGTGGACAACAGCCCCGTTTCTGCGCCCCCTGGCCAGGGGCCTGAGACAAGTCACTCAAGCTCTCCAAGCCAGGCTCCCTATTTGCAGTGCCTGGGGGTGACCCCTAAGGCCCCCTCTCCTGAGTCAGAGGACTACAAATGACACATGTACTCTGCGTTGTGAAAGCATATTCAGAAAACCTTGGAAGGAAATGGCTTGAAATCTATGCAGTAAAGGCTTTTGTTCATTCTGAAAACTTTTACCCAGTGCCTACTATGGGCACAGGCAGCTGCTTGCATCAGACGTCCTTTTTAACGCTAACTAGTTAAGAAGGTAAGATACATTGCCACAAAATGTAGCCAATGTTTCTGGAGCATGAGAGATGTTTATAAGCCACAGAGATGGGACACAGACTTCAGCCCTTGGGAGGAGGAACAGGAGACATCACCACGGGCTGAAAGGGTCCGCCAGGCCCCAGGAGATGCTGGCCCATCAGCCAGGCCCTTTCAGAAGGGCAGAGGGTAGCAGAGAAGGGGACGAGGGAGAGGCCCATTCAGGCTGAGCCAGGGCTGCTCCTAGGATGGCCAGGGACAGGGACAGGCTTCTTTGCTAGAGTAGAGGAGTCTCTCAACAGCAATGAACGTTAAGGAGGAGTCTGAGCCCGGCCCTGTCAGTCCAGGGTTTGGGGCACCAACTGGAGGAAAGTGGTATTAGAGGACTTCACGAAGGGCCCAGTGAGGCAGGACAGGACACTGACCACGTGACAGCTGGACCAGAACTCAGAAGAGAATCAAGATCGGCAGTGAGCACAGGCAGCAAGGACCTGAGTGAGACATGAGTTCTGGGCAACAGACTGAAGGGTGAGGCATCAGCCTTATTCTGGTGAAAACGGTGACCTCGTGAGGGACAAGCCATTAACCGTGGTGAGAACTGTGTGTGCGTTTACCAACGAGTTAGGAAGGCAGATGCTGGGCCAGGACAGCAATCCTGGGGAAGACCTTACTTACCCTGGCTTCACCTGAATGACCCATCCAAGGGAGTGCAGCTTTTCAGGGAAAGAACAAGAGATCTGCTGGAGTGGGGCCTAGGGAACTAAGTGGAGCCACTGATGGGAACCGGGAGAGGGGCTGGTGGCAGTCCCTGGGGGCCTGGCTGCAGTGAGAATGGCCCTAGAGGCCAGGTTGAGCCCGCTCTTTAAAACAAACAAAAGGGTTTCCTTAAAGACAAATCTCTCTACGATGCTATGTGTGGGAGTTTTAGTTGCCTGTTGGCACCACCTGGTGGCAACTCAGTGCATCTCCACAGAAATCAGAAAAAGGGCCGATGCCCACAGAGCCAGAGCTGGGCGTGCAGACACGCCCCCCGGGGCTCAAGTCTGCTGGCAGACGGACGCACTCGCTACCACTGCCCTCCAAGGGAGAAACCAATTCTTCTTTTAACCTTGCCGCCTCTGTTACTTACAATGAAGACTGTCCTGCCTTTTCATGGGTCTGGTTTATCAGGACTAGCAGTTAGAGGGAACACATCTCCATTCGCAGCTGCAGGCCTTGGCATCTGTGTCTGCTCTCCTCTGTCCTCACGGTCACTTGCCTCCAAATGTCTCCTTACAACAGTACTGAGGGATAGCTGGGAGAAGGCTTGCTGCCTTTCTTCCCAGCTGCCTCAAAAGCAGGGTCTCCCACTGGCGGCATGCAGGGCTGGGTCATGTCGGGGAGGGGGACGGCCTCCGGGCAGCTCCAGCTGACCCTGCTCCAGGTTAGGCTGCCTCTGCTTTAAGGGTCAGGAGAAGCTCCAACATGTTGAACCAGTTAGGCCCCCTCCATTAGTATAAATGTACCCACATCCGTGAAGCCATAGGCCTCTGCTTGGGATAGTATCTATTTCTCTCCACTATTCGAGTTAAAAGTTGAAATTACAAATTCCTCCTTAGCTGAAGCCCAAATACTTTCAATCCTAAGCGTCCTTCAAAACAGTGTCTTAGAAAGTCCAAGAAATCACCGTCATGCATGTGGAGTGGAGGACGGTGGCGTGCTGTCTTGCCTGCACCTGAGCTGGAGCGTCACATCATGGTCTCTACCTGAGCCGGGCATGAACTGTGGCAATTTTAATGATGCAAGAGAGAGGAACTGCCTCTCCAATGACCAGCTCCATCTCTGAGCCTCAGTTTCCTCCTCTGAAAAATGGAGATAATAAGAGCAGCTAGCTCACAGGGTACGGTGAGGCCTGCACAGTAACACATGGACGGCTCTTAGCACAGTGCCTGCTTGGCTCAGAGGGTGACTACTATTATCATTACTGTGACTGTTATTACTAAAATCACCAGAGGAACCACTTACCTAGAATGCACCTCCCACAGCTTCTGGTTCATCCGATAATCCCACACAGAGACCAGGCCTTCCTCGCCTCCACTGACAATTTTCCAGTCATCCATCTGGACTGCAGAGACTCCAAGTTGGTGGGCAGAGAGTGACAGGGCGATTTTGTCAGTGCGGAGATCATGGATCCTCACCCTGGAAGGCCCAAGATGAGCAGAGAGAAGGGAAATGGGATTTAAGCCCAGAATGACAAATTCCTCCTCGGTTGTGCACAAGGATCCTATGAAAACAGCATATAAAACCCTTTCAGTTGCAAACATCTAAATACTGATCTAAAACGTTTCTGTCCTTATTAGTATACTATCATAGGACGCCAAGATGCAATAGAAATAAACTAGTTCAGAGTACCCACAACTATTTAATCAGAATGATGTAAAAGCACACAGAACCAGACAGACTCAGGACCAATCTATCAGCTGCCCTGTCACTCATGTTATCTGCTCAACAGGGAAGACACCTGCCCTGGGTGCAGGTCCAGGTGGAGGGAAGTGAGATTTGACGGACATTGTGCCTCCACATGGGCATTGGCCTGCAAAGGCTATCCAAAGGGTAAGCTGACAGCCCAGCATGGTAATTTTGCTGGTGGAACACTATTCTGTTAGGGACAAGAGGTAAGTTGGCTACACTTGTCTGCAACCCAAACCCTCACCTGGTTGGGAAAACGACACTTTTTCGGTATTTAACTCTGATAATTTTGTAAGCTCATCACCACCTTGCTGAAATTTGGAGAGAGAATGTGTCTATACTGACAGTCCCTGACGTATGACAGTTCGACTTAATGATTTTTTGAGTTTACGATGGTGGGTTCCAGCATGGAGTTCAATCTACTGTTGAATCACACAACTCTGGGATGAGGTCAGCTTTGGGATTCCTCTTACTTCAAACATTTACTGAAGGATGAATATGTCTACACTGTAATAGACTGGTTTTTTTTTTTACTTTTAAAATATACATACAATTAAATAAATTATCTTGTGAAACGACACTGCATGTGTGTAAAGTTTTCTACTGCTTTAAAAAAGTCATTGAAAACTGTTGATCTTTTTCAACTTCTTACTCTAACAATTTTCGACTTACAATATTTTCAATTTATGATGGGTTTATCGGGACGTAACCCCATCCTAAACTGAGGAAGATCTGTGGTGGACTGAGCAAGACGGAATCGTGATAAGAGTGTGTGGACACTTGGCAGTCACTTATCTAAAGTCTTGAAATAATTACCAGCTTTGTAATAATCTGAATTTCTTTAAGATTCTCTTTAAAAACTACTTTTTATACAAGTATATGCTGAATTTCCACACACAGATACATTAGATAATGAGACGGAAATCTCCTACCCACTAAAAACACTAACATACTTAGTTCCTGAAATACGCCACAAATGCTAAAGGTGAATGTGGCAAAATTTCAGTGCAAGTGAGTTTAACAACCCTCTGCTGTGAGTCAAAAAGGAAAAGACACCACCCTGAAAAGACCTCGCCATCTAGCCAGGGAGCTGGACAGACGGGATGCTGAGATGCAACGTGTGACCACAGACGTGCTTGACACAAACACGAGGTGAGAAAGGATTATCTGAAACACGTTCTCTGTCCTAAACTCTTAGTTATATAAGTGTGTGCGTGTGTGCACACACAAATTATTTTCAGAGTTCCGAGAGAAAATTATTTTGAACTGAAAATTCTATACCTAGCTTACCTATCACGGTTGAAGGCATAATTAAGACCTTTTCTTTTTAAAACAGAAAACGACTCAAAGTGAGTTACCTGTGGATTCTCTGAAAGAAAGTGATGTAGCAAAATGCCAGAAGGGCTGTGAGGAGCCAGCACGGGCCATGCAGCGACGTATAAAACAAACACTGAAAGGCAGCCCGAGGAGATGGATGCTTACATTAGGTCCTGACTCATCTGCTGGGTCAGCAGACGCACGCGGGGCAAACCCACCTCAACAAGAAGTACCACACACGGGCCACCAAGTAAAACAACACATCTACACACAAAAGACACGTGCAAATGACAAGCAAGAGAGGTGACAATTTTAATACCAGAAAAGGTAGATTTCAGGGCAAAAAAAGCATTAGATGAGAGTACTTTATAATGATGAAGGGTACAGTTTATTAAATGGTGGTAAAACTTGCCTGGAAAAAACAAAAAAACTACATGGACCTAATTTTTTTTGTAGATAGTTTTTTTTTTCTTTTTTTTTAGTAATTCAGGTTCTTAAGTCATTATCATCTACTCAGATTTTCTATTTATTGAGTTAATTTTTTAAATCTCCAAATTTGAAAACCTAGATGAATAAATGAATAAATTTCCCAGGAAAATAAGAATTACCAACACTGACCCCCATGAGATGGAAAATCCAAATAGATAAAGTAACAAAGAGCAAACTGGGAGAGCTGTCCAGGAGCAACAGTCCTCCCAAAAAAAGCACAAGTGACACTGGCCCGACCTGGAAGGAACAGCCATCCCAGGGCTCTGTGCACTGCTGCACAGCACAGGAGGAGGAAAGCATCCCAGCTCTCTACATGAAGCCAGCATTCTACTACCAAAATCCCGACAATGAGAGCTCAATGAAAGACAACGCTAAAATACGAACTAACAGAATCCAAGGCAATGTGCTACGAACAGGTGGAGTCCATCCAGGAGCTCTATTAGTATAGTTCACCATGTTACTCTAACAGATAAGAACCACATGGTCATTACTATGGGTGCTAAAAAGAAATTTGATGAAATATAACACTTATTCCTAATATAAAATCTTAAAAGAAATAGTGATCCACTTTTACCACTATTATTTCACATTGTTTTAAAAAAATTACATAAAAGAAGAAAATGAGAGGTAGACAAATTTATCATTAGAGATGACAATCCAAGATAATTCAGTAACTCAGGATCAAATGTAAATTAATATGTCAAAATCAAGAACTCTCTTATATATAACCATTAGTTTTAAAAATGTAATCAAAGAAAATATCCCATTTATAATAGCAATTAAAGGCAAAATACCCTATAATAACTTTCTCAACTTGGAGTTCTACCATCTACATTACACCAAAATAAGTTATAGAGGGCTCAAAGAGTTAAACATAATTAAACTATAAAAGTATTCAGAATAGAGAAGGCCTTTCTAAACATAAAAAAACAAACCAGAAGTCAAAAAGGAAAATACGACTGTATATAAAAGTGTTTAAGTTTTTCCCACATGGGGGGAAAAATAAAGTCAAGGCAAATGATAAAGTGGAAGAAATGTCTGGAACAGAGAGGAGTGGCTAATTTCTTGGGGGGGCCGGGGGGGAATCAGGCCAGCACTGTGGCCTAGTGGTTGTTTGGCACACTGCACTTTGGCAGCCTGGGTTCAGTTCCCAGGCGCAGACCCACACCACTTGCCTGTCAGTGGCCATGCTGTGGGGGTGGCTCACATACAAAACGAGGAAGACTGGCCGCTGATGCTAGCTTAGAGCGAAACTTACTCAGCAAAAAAAAATCCTTCAAATTGATAGTTAAGAATGACAACCCAATATTAAAATGAGAGAAAAGAAAAAACAGTTCACAGAAAAAGAAATACCAATGGCTTTTAAACATGTGTAAGATGTTCAAGTTCACTGGCAATGAGAGAAATTACAAAATAAAACTACTTTGCAATACCACTTGTCAGCTATCTACTCAGCCAGCCAAGATCAAGCGTGGTAATGTACTCTGTGGGACCCTCCATGCTGATGAGACCTGGAGAGAGAGGTACTCACATACAGCTAACGTAAGCACAGAGCTCTCCTTGGGGAGTGATTTGGCAATATCCAACAAAATAAAAAATATACTTCACTTTTGACCTAGCAATTCCACTTTTACGAATTTATCTCAGATTTGTGTAATACATGTGTACAAATACACACACCCACACAAGGCCATTAACCCACAGCAATACTTTTTAGTAGCAAAAGATGGGGTTTCTGTTTCAGACAACTTGTTGACCCTCCCATTGAAAATCACTTAATATTGCTGGATAAAATATAACTAACAACCTGTTTGGTGGTCTAGAGGTTAAGACTTGGTGCTCTCACCGCTGTGGCCCAGGTTCATTTCCTGGTCAGGGAACCACACTACTGTCTGTTGGGTGTCATACTGTGGTGACTGTACGTTGCTATGATGTTGAAAACTATGCCACCGGTATTTCAAATACCAGCAAGGTCGCCCATGGTGGAGAGGTTTCAATGGAGCTTCCAGACTAAGACAGAGGAAGAAGTACCTGGGCACCCACTTTTGAAAAAATTGGCCATGAAAACCCTGTGAATAGCAATGGAGCACTGACGGATATTACACAGGAAGGTGAGAGGACGGCATAAAAAGACCAGGCAGGGTTCTGCTCTGCTGTCCACAGGTGCGCTAGGAGTCAGACTCGACTCGATGGCGCTAACAGTAAACATTCTGTTAAATGGACTTCTGAGCTCACACAGTAAGCGACTTCCCCAGGCCCCAGGCTGAAAACCACCCTGGAGAGCTTGAGATGCAATTTCGGTTGCCTATATGTATCTGTGGTGGGCGTGAGGCTGTTGGCAGGTGCCAATCTCAGGAACCAATGGGTTTGGATCTTACTGCAACTCAGGGGCGAGATGATAAGACTTTGGCCCACCCAAAGGTGGGGGCATGGGGGTGCTGGGACTCTTGCTTTATAAAAAAGCCATATAAAACTTCTACAAGTGAAAACATAGTCCCTGAAATTAAATTCATTAGACTAGAAGAGTTTGTGAATTAGATGATAAATCTGAAAAATGACCTAGAATGGAGCACAAAGAGATACACAGATGAAAAATGTGAAAGAGAAGTTAAGAGACATGACAGATAGAAGGGGACAATTCAGCATACGTCCAAAAGAAGGTCCAAAAAGAGAAAACAGAATGTATGACAAAGAAGCAACATTCAAATAGTTAATGACTGATATTTTTCCAGAATTAATGAATGACATACATACTCATACTCAATGAGCACTAATCAGAATAAATATATACATATCTAAGAGTATCATAATAACGTGGGAAAATGCAAAAAACAAAAGAGGCCTTAAAAGCAACCTAAGGAAAAAAGACATTACCTATTAAGGAACAATAATTAAACTGACAGGAAAAATTAGAAACATTTAAG